GCCCCTCTGCCTCCAGTGCTTACCCCTCAGATCTTCAACCACTATGCTGTCCTCCAGCTCCGAAATCTGGGAGGCCATTCCCAGCAGCAGATGATTCACTGCCTCGGCACTGTTCAGACTGGGGTTCTGGAAAGAAACAACACACTCAAGGTAGGTTCTCAGGCCCCCCTAAAGCCAGGTCCTTCTCAGGACCACTGCAGCACCTAAGGATAAAGGGCCCTTGGCCAGCCCTAGACTCTCTTGAGCTGCTGTCCCCAGATAATTTTCTGATCACTCTACCCTTCAACTCCCACCACCCTGGAGCTGCAACACCTAAGAACTGGAATTGTTGCTTTTCCCAGCCTGTGTGATGAGACTGACCTTGACCCACCTCCCCTTGCCCCTGACCCCAGGCTGACCTCCCGAATCCAGTAGCTGTTGCAGACTCTGAGAGCTGGGAAGCTGCCAAAACCCTCATTCAGGACCATCTGGAAATGACAGCTGGCGTTTCTGAAATGGGGAATCAAGGATGCAGTAAGAGAATTCAGAGAAGTTGAGGTGGGGTTGAGTGGGGCAAGGGATTCAGAGGGGGCCTGGCCAGTACTAAGAGGTGTCCTCGGAACTTCCTTGAACATGGCAGGGGTTTGGCAACGAGTGCGGATTGAAGGTAGAGGTTGCTCTTTGTCCACACAGGGTAGGAAGGGAAGGAGGGAAGAGAGTGACCCAGCTGCTGGGCAAATCCTGCTCTCAACAACTGAAGTTCAGCCATTAGGAGGAAATGGGGAGATTTTCCTGTTAAGACTGAACTTCCTACCCCAGGGTGCTGTTTCAGGGCACCAAATTCTGCTTCTTTTCCCCCATGAAACTGTAGGAGTGTAAAAAAGGCCCCAGGCCCACAAGACCACTAATTCTTCACCTCTGCCAGTGTTATGCTCAGCCAGACCCTCCCTCACCTCATGTAGACGCCAGGGGGCACCATGGTGGAGAAGAACTGCTCAGAGGCCGCCAGGAACTCCGGAGAGATGCTGGGGTCCAGGAAAGGGTGGTACCCTGTCCACAGGGGTAAGAAGAGAAATAGGCTCTTTACCCTCACACACTCTCGTCACACGAACCCACCTGTCTTCTTTGTCCTATAGATCCTGACCCCCTCCCCCTCCCCAAACCCCCCTCAGCCCAGGTGTTCCCCAAACTCCCTCACCTGTGTAATTCGGCGGTGCTTGCTGCAGGAAGCTGGGCAACCACTCATACATCGCGATGTTCTGAGGGTCAAGAGAGGGGGAAATGGGAGGCCAGCGCTGGAGCAGCCAGGCCAGGTAGGATCTGAGCTCAAGGAAGGCTTAGGTGTGAGACGAGGACCAGGCAGGGGCAGTCACGGGAGAGACACTCAAACAGGAGAGGGGCGGAGGTTCCCGTTGCCCACGAGGAACGAGGGCAGGGGGGAGGGGCAGCTAAATAACAATCACGAGAAAACCTCTGGTATAACTAGCGCTTTGCCTCCTTATCACTCTCAGGGGCTTTCCCTAGACGGTAGCTGTCTGGGGAGGGGTGTTTCTGGGTGGGCTTGTCCAAGGATGGAGGGCTCTGCGGGGCAGCGGAGTCTCCCGGGGACAAGCACGTGGGGGCAGGGCCGCGCGACCGACCTGGTAGGTGGCGATGACCCTCTTGCGCGCGTGCTGGAACAGCTCTTCGTCTCCCCAGAGCGGGTGCTGGCGGGCCAGCCTCTGCGCCCACAGGTTGTGGTAGCGGAACCAGAGCAGGCCCAGCGCCTGCAGGAAGGGCTCGCGGTTCCCTCGCTCCGCCCCGAAGGCTGCCCGCGCGGTGGGGACACAGGCGAGGAGTTGAGCGCGGGTGGGCTCGAGGGGGGCGCACCTCGCCGGCCCCCCGCCCGCGCCCCCGCCGCCTCACCGTACAGCCCCCGTGACCCGCGCCGTCCCGTGGCGGGGTCGGGCGCAGTCCACATGTGCAGCGGGTCCTGCGCGTTCCGGGGGAAGGCGGGGTCGGGCCCCGACGCCAGCTGCCCCCCGGAGAAGCTGCGCAGCTCGTCGCTCCAGGAGTGCGAGGAGCCATAGATGGCGCTGCCGTCCAGCCAGCCCGTCGCCTCGTTGGTCTGTGGGGACAGCGGGAGGCTGAGCCGGGGGTCGGGTGGCCGAGGCGGCTCAGGGCGGGCGAGGGCCGGGCGGTCGTTGCGGGTGGTGGGAGCCTCTCCCCAGCTGCCTCAGGTCCCGCCCCACCCAACCCCCCCAGCCGCCTGCCCCGCCCACCAGGTCCCGGGGGTTGCTGGGGCTCTGTCCGGTCTTGGGGTCCCAGCGGCTCCTCTGGAAGGGCAGCACCACGTCCCCGCTCTGGTCGCGATCGAACACGGGGTCTCCGGGTGGGATGTGGATGTTGAGGAACTCGGCCGGGCAGCCAGGCTTTTCCATGCTCACCAGGTCCGAGAGCACGTGGTAGCCTGCGGGCGTCGGGGGGCAAACTGGTGAGAATTGCTACTCCCCACCGCCAAGGCTGACGCCAATTTCTGAAGAGCCTAAAGGCAGATGTTCCAAGGCAAATTCCGCGCCACCAGCTCTAAAACATTTTTCTAATTTGCAAAGTGGGGTTATAGTACCCTCCTCGCCCACCCCATAATGTTGTTGGGAGAATCAAAATAATATAATTAATGTAAGGGCTCCCCCAAGCCAGTCCCCCGCTCCTAACAGATCCTGCCTCTCCCTCCCTCTTTGGGGGAATGAAGATATAATCACAACAGGAGAGGGGCGGCAGGGGAATCAGCTTCTAAAAGCTATAATGAGGGTTAGTGGCACTCCTGGGTTTGTAGTCAGTGATAAGAGAAAGATTAGGAGAGCAAATACCCCCGAATCAACACCCCCAAATCCCTCCAAGAGGAAGAAAGTCTTGAAGTGAGGCTTGGTGGGGAGAGGAAGTGGTTCGGGGTCTTGTATCGGTCTCCTGTGGACTTGCAGAGAGGCCTCAGGGCCCCTCTCCCCAGGCTCTGAGCTGAGCGCCAGGTCAACCCTCACCGAAGACGCGTTCTCCCACTTTGCTCTCACCGAAGAAGACCCCCAGCACTGTGCGATTGCGGCTGGATGGCAGCCCAGCTGTGCCCCGCATGGCGGCGTTGCTGAGTCGGCGCGGGTTGGGCAGCAGCGGCTCCCCCAGAGCCTGATACACGCCGTCCGCGTAATTAGCTGGTACAAGGCGCCGCAGTCGGGAACCTGTGGGAAGCAGGGAGCCGGGCTCTGTCTGATCACTCCGTCTTCAACAAGCCCACGAGCCTCGCTCTACTCCTCCCTCCAACTCCCCACTCCCACTGACGAGACCCTTTCTTCTGTCCCCAGGGGTGTACAGGAATTCGCGGCGCAGGCAGCCGGGCGGCTGGCGGCTCGCTCTCTCGGCTTCTCCGCGCCGGGTCTCCCGCGACCCTGCCCTCCACTAGCCGTTCCCCACCCCAGACCACGGGACGCACCGGCAGCGCCACGCTCGTGGTGCCTCAGGTTGTTGAACCAGCCGTCATAGCGCTGCACTTCCCAGGTCAGCGAGAATGAGTCCTGGCCTCCTGTGGGTCAGAGGGTGGGCCACTCAGTGCTAGCTACCTGCGACCCTTCTGGGACCCGACGGCCTCGGCCCGTGCTTCTCCAGCCCGCCGAGCGCCCCCAACCCGACCCAAGTGGCGATACTCGCCCGGCGTCTAGGCTGCGCCAGGATGTTTCCCATCTGGCTGAGCCGCTCAGCCATCTCACCCGATCTTCCAGCCTCAGGAAGCCGCTTGCCTGCACATCTCCCTTCCCCAACTCCCAAGGGAAACTGGGAGACATCCCGAACTAGGGGCGCCTGGTACTTACCCGCTGGGTCCAGGAGTGCAGTCAGCAGAGCTCCCAGGAGCACCAGGGCCTCTGGCCTTCCACGGACCATGCTGACCCTGTGGCCAAGAGGGTGGGAGGTGGTACGTGAGGGACACGGAGCAGGCGTCCCCCACACCGACAGTTGGCACAGGAGGAGGAGACGCCAGCCGTGTCCACTTCTGGATCGAAGCTTTTAGAAACGTCACCAAGTACCTGCACCTGCGGGGCACTTTTTTAAAGGCATAAGTAGCCCTCAAGGCAGTGACACTGGTCCCCACCCTCCACCCCGTGGAAGAACTAACCCCGATCACACACAGGAACCCGGGAGGCACAAATCCTCTGGGGCTTGTTAGTCCCTGGCAGGACTTTACCTCCAGCCTCCCAGGTCCCGAACAAAGCCTTGAGTCCTACCCCTCAGGAACTGCTTCTCCTAGAGGAGGCAGGGAAAGGAACGTGGCTAGTGAGCTGGGAATCTGGAACCTGCAGTCCCTCGTACCCCTCAGTGAATGCCTGTGCATGGACACGAGGGATGGGAAGATCAGGTCCCAAGTCCCACTCAGACCTCTGGCTTAGGGCCCCCATCGGGGTCAGAAGTCTTCTCTTTCTCGGAATCTTTGCTTCTCTGCTCTGCTCTCTGCCTCTCCCCCACCACTCCTCCCCAGCTCCGCAGATCCTCAGCCTCCCCGGCTTCATTCTCACCCTCCTCTCTGGGTCCTCTGAGGCCCGCTGTGCAGGTGTCCACTCAGGCCAGAACAGCGCCAGATGTGAGCATCTGGACTGGGATTCACCCTCTTGCTATGCAGGTGGGGATCCTCTCATTTGCATAGCAACCTCCGCCTCTCGTTTGCATGACCTCATCCCTCTGGGACCTGGCTGCAAAGCCCCGACACGGCTCGGCACGCTGCCCAGGCTGCTATAAAAAGGATTTCAGGTCTTGTGCGACTTCCAAACGCAGAGTGAACACGCAGAGCTGGCCCTCCCACCTACCTAACTCCATCCCGGCCAAGCCAGAGCGCCTGAGGGCAGCTAGCTGCTGCGCTTCCTTAGGGGCAAGCCGAGGCGCTCAGACTTGACTTGTCTGTTGAGTCCAGTCCTCGCACGCAGGGAACGGGGTAAAGGGAAGTGGGATCCGGGCTCGGACGCCAGTGACCGCTCTCCCCGCTGGAACAGACCCAGCTCGGCCGGGTTGCAGCATGACTCTGTGGAACGGTGTGCTGCCCTTCTACCCTCAGCCCCGGCATGCTGCCGGCATCAGCGTCCCGCTACTCATTGTCATTCTGGTGTTCTTGGCCTTGGCTGCCAGCTTCCTACTCATCTTACCCGGGATTCGTGGCCACTCGGTAAGGGGGTACTAGAAGTTTAGGTCTGGGGGTGGAGAGCGTCAAGGACAGCATGTCTCTGGAGGATAGGACAGTTAAGACAGCGGCAAGATCTTCCATGCACGGAAGCACTGAACCAGACAGGTGGAGCATAGGCAGAAGTCTGGCCCAGCAAGCACCCCTTCCCAAGGTTAGGGAGAGGTCCCATACAAGACATCCGGAGGCTGACCCCAGCTGGAACATTCAGGAGGCTGCTGCAGAGAGTGGGTGCCCAGTCTAGTAATCCTGGGGCCAATTCTAGTCTTCACATGCTGCAGGGGTCTCCTGCCTCTCCTCAGGCTGCACCTCCACTCCCATCCCACTCCCATCCCAACCTCAGGTGATGACCTTCTGGCCAAGAGGACAGAAACCAGCAACTCATACTGCTGTGTTTCACCTGTGCACTGGGTTGAGTCATGTGTGTGGGAGCCCCCATCCTAATGACAGAGATTTCTCCACAGAAATTTCTTCGAAGTTGTAGCAGACTGGGCACTTTTTCTTAGATTCCCTCCCCTCCCAGAGCCTAAGTTGTCTGTTTTTCAAGTCTAGGAGGACCTAGCCTCCCTGAGTCTTGTGTTTGTTTTCTGGGAAACTGGCACACCTAGTAATATCTGAGAGGTTGTGTTCGTACCTCCTCTACTTGGTGACCAGACCTTGAGGCCTCCCTCTCCTGAGGAAGGTGACCGCTGCCTGCCTAGCACTTCTGGACTCACTGAGCCTCATCATGGCAGTGACCCAAGCAGGAGGTGGGACCAGGGCTGAAGAGGAAAGGGGATGAAGGTGGTGGGAGAGCAGCAGATAGAGACAGCCCAGTTGCAGGGTGGACTGGAAAATGGGGCTGGGAGGCAGAATCATGCAGCCAGAAAACATTAGAAAATGCCAGTGGCTCAGAGGGACTTGCATGACTTGCCTTCAGCCTTTAAAGGTCAGGAATGTAACTGGGAAAAGTGGGCAAGAGAGGGAAGTTGCAGAAGCACTAAAGGCCCGGGTGGCATGGGGTCAATGGAGAGCTTGGGGACTCTGGTTGGGCAGTACCCAGGCCTGACCCGGTTCCTGTTCCTGCAGCGCTGGTTCTGGTTGGTGAGAGTTCTCCTCAGCCTGTTCATAGGAGCAGAAATTGTGGGTGAGTGTGTGATGCAGTGGAGGGGGAGAGGACCTGGGGTGAGGAAGGAAGTGGCCTGAGGGCACCTGGGAAAATGGAGAACTGGGGATGGGTTCCCGCTCCCTCTTCCCATTCTCTTTCTAGTGGGCTCCTTCTATTGCCCACTCTTCCACCCTTACCGTGTATATCCCTTTGGACTCCTAGACCCCCCCATCTCTGTGCAGTGTCCCAACTCCCATCACCGCCCTCCCAATCCCGTCTCCCCAATCTTCTCCCTAACCTTTCCCCTCCCCCGCGGTTTGCCTCTCCCCACAGCGGTACGCTTCAGCACAGAATGGTCAGTGGGCAGAGTTAGCACCGATACATCCTACAAGGCCTTCAGTGCGGCACGCGTCCGAGCCCACGTCGGTCTGCACGTGGGCCTGGAGGGCGTTAATGTTACACTCACAGGTGAGGAGCTGCGGCGAAGTGAACTCCTGAGGTTGACAGACACCATGGTTGGGGGTGTGTGGCAGGCAGGGGCAGCTGGAGGACCTGTGAGGACAGCTCCCACAAGCTCATATAGAATAGCTTTTGACTCTCATTGATGTGTTTTCCCCAACCGCTGCCAAACCTATTTCTCTCAAGATTCTCACTCTCCTATCCGAATCCGCTTAGTTGCCCGGTCCTCGCTGTACGCAGCCGGGTGACGACGACGCCCTCCGCAGGGAACCCAGTGCAGCAGTTGAACGAGACCATCGACTACAACGAGCAGTTCATTTGGCGGATCGGCGAAAACTATGCTGGGGCGTACACGGAGGCATTGCAGAAGGGGCTGCCGGATCCAGTTCTCTATCTGGCGGAGAAGTTCACTCCGAGCAGCCCCTGCGGGGTTTACCGCCAATACCGCTTGGCGGGACACTACGCCTCGGCCACGCTGTGGTGAGCGCGGAAAGAAGACACTTTGCGTACTTGCGCGCGCGCGTGCGTGTGTGTGGCGGGGGTCGGGGTGGGGACATGTGAGCCGGAGGATGTGAGCTACAGTTACAGACCGACGCGCTTGGGGTGAGAGTTGCCGCCTCGCAGGCAGATGGTCACGAGGTCCGTACAGACCGTGGGAATCCGAAGAGACCCAGCAATGGCTGGGCGCCGGCTACTCCCCTCCAGTGTTTCCCTGCGCCTCCGCCATCCCAGCCCCGGGCTTTTGTTCTGGGGCCGGGAGGTAGGGGAGGCGAGCCCGTGGGAACCCGAGCGGGCTGGGGGAATCCGGCTCACAGCTCCGCTGGTCCCCTCCCCGCAGGGTGGCGTTCTGCTTCTGGCTCCTCTCCAACGTGCTGCTCTCCATGCCGGTCCCGCACTACGGAGGCCTGGCTCTTCTGATCACAGGCGCCTTCGCACTCTTCTCCGTCTTCGCCTTCGCCTCCATCTCCAGCGTGTCTCTCTGCCAGCTCCGCCTTGGCTCCTCCGAGCTCACCACTCACTACGGTGCCGCCTTTTGGATCACGCTGGCCACGGGTGAGGACCGAGGGAACCGGCCCCCGGGTGTCTGGGGGCAGAGACGAGATTTTTCCCAGCTTGCACTTTCCGGTTTGCATAATGAGTTCACATATATTATCTAATTTGCCCCTCTCAGTAGTTCGTAGAGGCAGGCACTGTTGTGCCTATTTTACAGAGGAGGGGAAGGGAGTTCGGAAGGGTTCGGTATCTTGCCCCAGTGGCGTGCGAACCCGTGTATCATGTATGCCATATTAGAGGTCTTTCCGTGGTGCGTGTGTCTGGGGAAGAAACGCAAATACTTCCAATAGATGGAGTCGGGCGGCCGGGTTCTGGAGCCCTGACCGCCCTCTTTACCCGCGACTGCGCTAACGCAGGCATCCTGTGCCTCCTCCTCGGAGCTGCGGTGCTGAGTCTCCACTACGCTCGGACCAGCGCTCTTCGCACCTTCTTGGATGCAAGCGTCAAGGGCCTCGAAAGTCAGGCGAAAGGGAGCTCTCCTCTCATCCTCAACAACCCACTGCATAAGCAGTTCTGGGACTCAGACTTAACCATCAGTACTAACCTGTGAAAGGGACTCAACCTCGGACTCCTACTCTGCCTTGGTCCCCCGCAGGCCGGGGAGCAGTGCCCACCGGGCCTGGGGAGCTCCGGGAGGGCACTGCGCTGGGGGCGCGGGGGAAAAGGGCCAGTGGCCTCAGATGTGCCGCCTGCACCCAGGAAAGAGTCTCCCAGGGTGAGCTGTAAATAAACTTTCTTCTTTTTTCTTTTTTTTTTTTTTTTTAACTTTCTCCCATTATTTTCCATGGCTTTTCAAGGCTTTTCGGGATACGAGCTCTGGGGAGACTTCCCTGGGTTGGAGGCAGCCTCTCTCTCTGCTTTGCCACAGACACCGGATTCTCTGTGTCTGAAGAATGCAGAGTAACCCGGGAAAGGGTCTGGGAGAGGGTGCCCTCTAGTGAGCCCAGAGAAGAACAATCAGAGCCTGCATCTTCCTGAGCTACCCCAAGTGGATGGTAGCAGTGACCAGGCAGGTCATTCCCCCGCACCTTCACCCCCGCTGGCCCTGTGGGATCCCCCTCTGCTAGCCCAGCTGAGGGGGCTAAGAAGAAATGGCATTTTGGAGTTTATTCACTAGCTTCACTTTATTCATTAAAGGGGTGGTGTCTGAGGGCCGAGGTAAATGTCAGCAAGGCATAAAGCTGTAAACCCTGGGATTTTTTGTTTGTTTGTTTTAGGTCCTTGGCAAGTCCTACAGTCTTATTTGGCAGATTTGAGAACTGAAGCTCAGAGAGAATGGGGCACAATCGGTTAATATTAGATCTAGAACAAGAAGTTTGGTCTCTCCTCCCTCGCAGTATGTTCATTGTACCAAGAGATCACACAAGCTGGGGAAGTGAAGGGAGAACAAAAGGGAGCCAGGAAAAAGGAAAACAAGAGATGCAGAGGGATGAGAGGGAACATGGGAGAATCGCACTGTAAGCCCCCCGTACACGTATGTCATCATGTGGGTGGAGCTGGGTTTCAGTAAATGGCACCTCGAAGAGGCAAAGCCCCAAGGGAGGGCAGGGTAGCTGGGCAGAAGGAGGGGCAGCCCCTGCTTGGTCTCATCACGCATGGCAGCAGGGTTTATGGCAGCCCCAACATCTGCCTTAGGGCTTTTTGTTTTGTTTCATGTTTTAACATCAATAGGTAGAGCCTCTTTTCCTACTCCACCTACACATTGGGGCTGGGAACCTGATACAACCCATCCTGCAGGCAGCTCTGGTGGTGTTTTGGGGGGGTTCCCAGTGAAGTCTGGAGCCAGATTGGAAGTCCAGGTGGCCACCAGGGAGGTGAACTTTCCAGGGCACAGTCAGACTCCTCACAGGGCACCTCAGAGGAAGCCTCTGACAGAGGAATGTCCTGGGGCTCGGGACTCTCAGCTGTGGACCTGTAGCGAGGGCTCAGGAGTCCCCCTTCCTCAGGATCCCACTCCAGGACAGGGTCCTCTCCCACAGTGGCTGAAGAAAGCCTGCAGCCTGTGGGCCACCACCATGGCCAGGCCCAGCAGCACACAGAGCAGGCCTGGGGATGAGGCAACAAGTATCCCGCCTTAGTGATAGTAACACCTTTGCAAGGACATCTTCTGCTAAGAGCATTAAGACCCCTCTTAAGGGAAGCCTATATCGTCCCTGCTTCAGGGCAACTTAGGCTCCAAGAAGTGACTGGCATAGGGTCATATGGCTGGTGTGGCTCTGTTGCTCTGAGTTTTTGGACTCTAAACCCAGTGCTCCTTCAATTACATCCCAGGAGAGAGAGAGAGAGAACTCTGAAAACAGAGAAACCCTGGGGGGAGGGCAGGACAGGAGAGGACAATAAAACTGCAGGGCAATTTAAGGCTATGTGAAATAGGCACAGAGAAGTGTTCTAGGAATGGGGGACACAGAGAAGAGTGTTTGGGGGAAGGAAGGACATGAGATCGTAAGATCTGGGGAAGAGCTGGGTGAACAGAGAGTTAAGGGATGAGGGACATGACAGAGACAGAGATAAGACACAGGGGAGTAGGGATATATGAGGAGGGAGGGGCTGTGGGTCTGAGAAGGGGAAACCCAGCGATGAGGGATCTAAGACGGAGGGGGCTCTAAAGAGGGGAAAGGTCCCCAGAAGTGCCCCTCGGTCCCTGGAGGCAGACGCTCAACCCCACGGACCTGACGGGCCCCAGCCCTGAGTCCTCCCATCCCTGCCTTCAGGATTGGGCCTCACCTGTGGTCAATGTGATCCAGTAGGCAGGCCCACGGTGAGTGTGCAGTGTGGCAGTGCCCAAGCGTAGGGGACAGGGCAGGGTGAGTGACATGGCCGTGGAGAAGAAGAGCAGTCCCAACAGCTGGAAGACACCCGTGGCCAGCAGCACGTGGCCACCGTAGACCAGCACAGGCATGGACAGCATCACATCCGCCAGCAGCCAGCAGAGGAATGCCACCCTGGAGAGCCAGGGGAAGGCTGGCCCAGGCACCTCTACCTTGTTTGGGATGAACTTCTACCTGGAGGGGCCCAGGTGGAGGACACCCCAAAGAGGTGAGGTAGGGATTCCTGCCTGTGGGCTTCCCAACCAAGCACCGTGGTGACTGGTGCCAGACTGTCCCACTAGGGGTCTCCACATGAGTGGGGGAGAGATGGGTAGGAACCCCACTCCTGGGTCTAGGCCAGCAGGGCCTCCGTCCCACCCTCACCACAGTGTGGCCGAGGTGTAGTGTCCCGCCAGGCGGTACTGGCCATGCAGGCCACACGGGCTGTGTGGGGTGAACTTCTCGGCCAGGTAGAGCATGGGGTCTGGCAGCCCCTTCTCCAGTGCCTTGGCATACTCCTCGGCGTAGTTCTCCCCCAGGCGCCAGGTGAACTCCTTGTTGTAATAGCCAGTCTCCGTTCAGCTGCTGCACCGGGGTCCCTGGGGAATGGAGCAGCTGTGCCCAGCAGGGACCCGAGGGCCAGAGTGGTATTTACCTGGGCAGAGGCTTATCACACTGGAAGAGGACCAGGCTCTGGTCTCAAGTGAGAGAAGGCAGCTTCTGAGGCCTGAGAACTTCCCTTCCTACCTCCCCCGGCCCAGACCCTAGAGCTCTTTAGACCACACCCAACATAGATCCCAAAGCCGCAGAGCAGAGGCTTTCCCTTCCTCCCAGGCAAGAGCCCCCCCTCACCTGTGAGTGTGATGTTGACTCCTCCCAGCCCAATCTGCAGCCCAACAGCGGTGCTGATGCATTCCGAACTGAAGGCCTTGTATGATGTGTTGGTGCTGACCTGGCCCACAGACCACTCAGAACTGAAATTCATGGCTGGGGTTGGGGAGTTTGATGTTCAGGAACTCAGGGAGGTCTGGGCATTGCTGGGTTAGTCAGAGGGAGAGCTGCAAGGGGACCATGTCAGTTTTGCTCATAGTTGTGTATCCATTAACCCGCCTAGGACCTGGCTCATGGTAAGTTTGCCAACAATAGGTATGGGATGAATAAATGAATAAATGGGTCAGAATCTAATATCTCCCCTGGTCATAATCCTCTTCCCCCTGTCCTCCCTTCCTGCCCCCATACAGGGAGAACTACTCAAGCAGCTGGGGCAGGAAACATTAACATAATAAACCATGCGGGGCAAACACAGAGAGCTTCAACATAGAGACTTTCTATGTTTCCTATCGCCTAATCCCCAAAGCAAAGCAAGCAGCCCTCCACCATTCTCTCCCTCCAGCCTCCGCAGACCCTGTCCCCAAAGGCATTCATTTTGACCTGCTTTCCTCTGAATAAATATGTTAGGAAGGTTGGAGAGATGCATCCAGGAGGCTTGCACCTGTCAGGGCAAAGGTAGATGTGAGGGGATAAGGCCAGGGTGAGGGAGGCGTGCGGGTAGGGAGGTCTAGAAGCCCACCCTGAAGCAGAGCCTCTGTGAGGGAGCCAGGATAGAAGAGATGGGATGCAGGCAGCTGCCCAAGTCAGCTACACTCCACACTCACCCAGGATCACAGCTCCAATGAATAAGCTGGTCACTACTCGCAGGATCCAGAACCGCCTCTGCATCACAGGGTGGGACGGTTTAGGATGGAGCACCCTCCTTCCAAATCCACCCTTTCTCTTTCCAGACTCGGGAAGGGTGTTCTAGAACTGAGGTCACTTGGTCACCAGAGATCAAAGTGCCTGGCCCATAATAGATACTCAGTAATTATCTGTTGAATCAATGAGCAGGGAGCTCTCTGCTGGGAGGGTGGGTGACGCTTTCTCGGGACTAGAATCTTTTTCCTGAATCTGATTGTAATCAGAAAGTCTGGCCCCCTCACCTCGAGGCCAAGGTCTCTCTGGGGCTGGGGTCTCCAGGGCTGGTTTTGTTTCTCACCATCTTGCCCCGAATGCCTGGCAGGATGCTGATGAAGGCGACCAGTGAAGTCATAAAGATGGTGATGATGATGGCCAAGGTGGTGACCATTGGGAAGTTCGGCTTGGGGCCAGCGTAGAAGGGGAATGTGTGTCCCAAAGCAGCCATTCTGGTGGGGTTGTTCAGGGGAGGCGGATGCTCTACAACAACAGGTGTTTCCTGAGTGCCCTCTATGTGCCACACACTGTTCTTGGGGCCAGAGATCCAGCAGAGAATAAACCAGACCCTTCTTCTCTGATGCTCACCAGACGCCACTGTTACTGCCATTTCCGCTACCCCTCAGCCATCCATCTCCACGTGTTTTTAGCTGTGAGAGAATAAGGGTCTTGGCAATCAGTCTCTGTCACTCCATGCTCCCTTGCTAACCCCCAGGTCCCCTAAACCAGTACCACCACTACCCTCCAGGCTTCTCTGCTTCCTCTGGGACTGTCTTAAGAAATGTAATTCTCTTTTATCTCCTTCAGGCCTCCAGCACAAGCAGACGGATCACAGAACATAGAAAGAGCTATATTTTCTGTCAAGAGAAGGCATAAGGCTGAAAGATGGTACAGATACAAAAAGGTTGGCTTTCCTCCTCACTCCCCAAAGAACAAAGGCAAGATAGCTCTGCTAAGTATATAATCCAACTTCATCATCAGAGGGCTGATTCCCAGACCTGGCACTGCCCAGGCTGGTCTGACAAGCTTTCTCGGGCACCCTGGCTCCTGTTCTGGCAACTCGAGGGCAATCGAGCAGAACTGAGCTCACCTCAATAGGCACTGAAGGAGCCTGCCCTCCACTAGGGCACAGTGCTGGGGCCAGATGTCCTTCTACCCCACACATCATCAACAGCAGCCTTCCTCCTTGGTTTAAGTTCCTAGGCTTCATTTCAGG